TAATAAAAATAAAATAAAATAATAATAATTATAGTTTTAAACACATAAAAAAGACGAATGAGCGTGTCATTTGAAGCACACCGGTCCCACTTCGAAGCCGAATGCTTGATGTGGCAACCCGTAGTCGATTGGATAGAAATCTGTCAGTGGCAGACTGTTCAACTTGTTGGTACGGATTTCAAATACGGTTTCGCTTTTAGATTTTCTCGTCTAGAAAAAACAATTAATCTCATAACAAAATAAAATAATTCATTATTTGTATACATTAAAAAATTGCAAATTGCAGGTACAAAACATCTTATTATTTGAATCAGTTTTAATTTACTGAAGAATAAGAATGTCTAAAAATATTATTGATTAGAAAAGGGGAGATGATTATGTAAATTTTGATCTTAAAAATATTATTTTACTATAGGTAACTTTACGTAGTTATCGAGTCTCAGGYGAACATCGTCAATGAGTTGGTTACAGTAAYGAATGTAATTTGTATTTTGGATACAGTTATAAATCGTTGAATACGAAAAACGATTATGAGCGTACGTGGTCTTTCAGCCTATTATTAAGGGTATTTTATTATATCATATACTTTGCACTGTTAAAATGTATTTATTATTCTATACATAATAAAGTAGGTTCAATAATTTTTTGTCCGAAAACGTCGCATTTATTATATTATTATTCATTAAATATTATAATACTATATTACTTTATTATTATTATAATATTTTAGTTAATACTTAAATGTTGGTTGCTATAGAATCGTGTAAATATAGATTTGTGGTATGAATATATGATTAATCTAAATATCTTAGAAATATTATGGTATTGTTCGAGTAATAATTTATTTAGTAGAGAAAAGTTTCAAKTCCCTAAAATTATATTCTTTTGAAATGTAACAAAATAACTAAAATCGTTGAATGAAAACATATTATTTCTTGTACAAATTTCTCCTGAAGTAAAGTATATGAGTTGGATCAAATTGCTACCATAGTTGTTATTAGAAACCACTAATTCAATATTTAACCACAAATTGAAGATTGAAACATTTTTTCATACATGAAAAGTGTGTGGACATAACAAAAAAAAAACATCGTTAAGCCATTACAGTCGTCTCTCTGCTCAATATCAGTAGGTAGTAGAATATAGTAGCTGAAATTGAATACGCTACTAATCACTTAAAAAAATTAAATCATTAATATTTGGATATTTATTATATTAATTATTCTATTTGAATAATAAAACAATTCATAACTTAAATATAATTTATAATACAATTTATCCCTGGATTTCAATTGACTCGTAGTTACAACTCACCGGTAATGAAAAATCAGACGTTACGTAATTAAATTACGATGATATACAGTGAATTTAATGAAAATGATAAATTGTTTATGAAAAAAAAAAAAAATGATTTTGCACAACATGTTTACAGTTGGCAGATGCTATCATAAAATTACAACATATATTAGTCATATATATGTATATAGACATTAATATTATGAATATTATGGCGTTTTTAAACATTATTTTGATTAAAGCGTAATAATTATTTATGAAAAGTATTTTGAACAAATATATTTTATATTTATAATTTCTTGATAAACGTTGTCGTATTAATAAATCTGTATATATATATCGAATTAGTAGTAGTACCATAAGTTAAGGTATGTGATCATTTTTAATTTGAACATATAGGTACTTACCTAATAATAAATAATCGAATAGGTACTTACTACTTACTATACACATTATCAATGATAGTCCACAACGATAACTACAAACATTAATCAATTACATGTTATGTGAATTTTTTTCAGAATATTTAATTTTTTTTTATATGTTTTGTAATCAAAATTAAATAAATATTCTAAYTGAATATCCTAACTATTAAAAAATATTTTTGATTTAAGTTTAATAGTTTTCAATGATAAGAGTCAATTAAATTTCAATTATCCGGGAAAAAAGTTTAAAAAATCACTAGACATAAAAATACAAAAGATTTATTGAATCATAGGATGAACATATTCAGAGACTTAATACCTAAGTCATAATTCTAAAGGAAATAATATAGAATATGCAGGAGATTAATATTTATGTGAATGATAAATAAATGCTCAGTTATTTTCACAGTTCAGCAGACAACTACGACAAAAGCATAATTACATATATATCACATCCGAAATTTCTAGAAAAGCCCTTTTATTCATATAATAATATTTACTTATCGATTTGGCAAACTTTATTATCTTGACAATAGTTGCTGAGTATTATAAATTAAAATGTATCATATTATACACTTTTATGAAAAAAACACCTACACGAAGTCACAAAATTATATAATGTTATTGTTAGTTGTATATAGTGATGTTGTAGAACGTATTATTGTATGTTGCATGATTTATATAAATATCACGAATATTGTTTGTACGTATTCAGTTCCTTTTTAAAATTGTTTAAGTACTTAAATTAATGGAATATAATTGTATGTTATATTTAATTTATGCAAGATACTGTTTACTGAAAAATAATCTCAACAATTAAATTATCACGATAATATATTATACAAGAATTATTTTTTCGATAGTAAAACGGGCTAATATTGTTTGAACTCTTACATCCGATAAGTTGTACTTGCTGTGTGTTGCTGTATGGCTGTATTTGTTTCATACAATATTGTATATAATAAATAACGCTAAGAAATAATAATAGTACCTACTGAGTTAGATTTAACTAAAGCTGTTTAATTGAAAATAAAATATAAAATGGTTTGTGAATGGAGAAGCAAATAATATTTCAGAAAAAATAAAACGTATTTAATATGTACGCGAACTTAAGAAAGGGAAATCAATAAAATGAAGGAAGGTATAACGGTTGAAAGTAAGTACGACAAGAAATAAATTAAGAGAATAAGAATAGCAACTTAACGCTGTTGTTAATGAAAAAGTATAGGACACTAGACTTAAATTTGGCCACTCGTCTCGCTTCACTCACTTCAGTGCAAGCAAAGGTATTATTATTATACTTAAATTGAAAATATATTAATTATTTCGTTTAAAATATAGTTATTAATATTATTATACACAATTTTAAAATTTGTACATAATATAGTTTTTCAATAAATACTTTAAGTAATCATATAAATTTAAAAAAATATATTTAAAAGTGGATATTTTAAAATGATTGGTTAATAATAATTAAGTAATRATAAATTAATTTAAACGAGTATGTAAAATCCTAGTACCTAGAATTAAACTGTTTAATTTTGTAGTTAGAAATATTAACACTGTCATAGATACGAGTTTTATTAGGATTTAAAAGTTTAATGTTAAAAAGCTAAAACATTTGTAAAATATTTTTGACCCATTATTTTTGTTCAGAAAAAGGTAGAAAAATTATGAGTAATCTTTTATTTAATTTTCAAATCTTAGAAATATAAATCA